TCAGATCAACTATTTGGTAAGGTCTATTTTTGGGATAGTGCTAATTAACAAATCGTAAAGAACTGCAGATAGTGCATGTTATAGTTGTGAAGAGAAATCTAAAATTAATTTTAATTCATTAATTTCTAGTTTAGGAAATAAACTCAATATTCTGGATGGTCAAATGTGCAGCTTAATCACTTTTTACAGAGAACATGCAGCCTTCTCTTCTTGAAATATCTGGATCTGTCCTTGATGGAATTGTGAACAGAAAAGTATTTCAACCTCTCAGATGTATCTTAATTTGCTGAGTCTTGCTTTTAAGCAAGTTTTTTTTATTTACCAGGATAAATATATTCAGTTCAAAGTGCACACTTAAAAGCACTTTTAAAAATTATGGCAATAAACTTTCTTCGACTGTATCCCACTATTGTGACTTCTGTTTAACAGTCTTCGGGGATCTTTTTTTCCTGGTAGTGACTGAAGCCAGTGGAGGGGGGGGGGGGGGTGGTGTACTAAACAAGTTTTTATACAAGGAGGCTCCACCCTGAGGTCCAACCCCCGCCGACTATTTAAGTAATCGGCTCCTGTTTATGTCCACTTTTTTCTGGTCGAAAAAGTAGCCTGTCGAAAAAGGGGATCATTTTACGTTTCTGTGAAACTGCCCACCGACCCCTCCCCTAAACCAACATTAACACTAAATTCTTACTTAGGGCAAAATGTTGGCTTAGGGGAGGGGTAGGTGGGCAGTTTCACAGAAACGTAAAATGAAAAAAGTTTACACATTTCCTTATTCTACAAACCCCGCAATTCATAGATCATACAACCTCTCCATTTTTTTAAAAACCACCTTTCACTGTCCGACACAGTCTGTTTCACAGCCTTTCTTTTTGTCGTCACGCAGCCCCACAGGAGCGTTGCGTGACGACAAAAAAAAACGGCTGTGGAGCATGAGAGCAGACTGCTGAGAACCATGGCCCATGAGTCGATAATTTTAGGCCAGAAGACAATAGAAATACTAGCCTGCTTCAGGCGTTCAGACGAGTGTGGGGAGCGAGTCTAAATTGTACACCGAGAAAACGGGGGCGGGGCGGGGGAGAGCAAGAGACTTCCCTCCCCCTTTCCCCTTCTAGTCTCCCCTCGTTTTTGTTTCTTCGTGAATTTTTCTCCCGCGCTCTACTATCTGAACGCCTGGAACAGGCTAAGGAAGTACGCTGAACCTACCTAGGTTTAGAAAATTTAAACCTGTGATATCAGTTTTATAATAGTCACAGTTTTTTCAATTTACAATCAATAGTTCAGCTCCTGATGACAATCATAATCCGATGCTACCCCACCCGCAATATTGAAATACAACGTGGTCGTTTCTTTTTTAGCAAAAAGCTGCCTCTTCTTATTGTAAGTTTCAATGGATATATTATTCTCTAACGATTTACGTAATCGACCTTACGTCACGAATCGCAAGACAGCATACACCCAACTTCCGGTATTTTCCTTATATGTCTATGGATGGCGATCGGAATTCCAGTTATTTGCATACTCGTCATATTCGTGCAGGTGATTGACAGAGGAAGATACCCGATCCCTTCACGAACGTATCCGACGCCAGACGATAATTGTAAAGGAACTGTAGCAGAAAATGTTCTTTCATTTGTGATGTTTGAAGACGCTGAGGCTCATTTTTGTGACAGTTGTAAGCGTACAGGGAGTTGCTAAGTACTCTAGTTGTGTCGACAAGTTACTATGGATGACCTAGGTATGTCTGATCGATCATATTTGTATTTTTTTGTGTAGTAATTTGGTTTGCTCATTTCATACACAGTGTTTCATGCGAAACCTGTTCGAGATTCTGATCTCCGTAATTGTCATAATTCAACCTAGCTGTTGGTTTGGTTAACCTTGTAAACAATGTAAGAATTTTTATTGGAATATTAGCTGAAAAAGTTCGTTGAAAGTTTAGTCACGTTGATTCGAAAAGTTAGAGCGCTAAATAGCTAAGGAACTTCTAACCCAGGCGAGCTGTTAAGTTAAGTCCAGGGCTCGAAATTACTAGTTTTATCGCGTTATTGTCTATTTGAGGTATTTGTTTGACCTGAAGTTCCATAGTAAACTTCTTGTATTGCGTTTGAACTCGAGAAACGCGGATATCGGCATTCCGATCTTTACCGATTTTCCTATGAAAATAAGTCTTCATAGCACAGATTCCAGCACTCAACGCTCCGTCTTCACTCTTATGTTCGTCACAACTACGGTCGATTGCAAAGTCACTGATTTTAAATAAGCCTCACACCTGGACGTCCAATGTCATTAGCGATTCGGCATATTTTAAAATTTTTTTGTCATCGCAATTGTAGCTATTTTTTATGCTGTCATTTGTGGTTTGCGAGCTGAGCGAGTGATCGCGCGCGCTCAACGCCTGTTGGTGAATTCACGCAACGAAATCAAAACATTCGTGCTCCAAACAGATGTCAATATACTCGTGAATTATTTATATCGTTTTGTGTGATTTTATTGTGCAATGGTGAGCCAAATGGTGGCTCATACATTCGACAGCATGTTTCATATGTCATCAAAGACACGCGGTAGAACGACGCATTGAATGGAATTGAAATGAAAAAATTATAAGCGCAAAGACAGACAACTTTTTCGATCGAAAAGCGATCTTGAGGAAATTTAGAATATAAGCATGCCTGGAAGGACGAGAAAACCGTCGATTGAAGAAAAACTGAGACAAAATATTGAATTTTTAGATGCACTGTTAGCGGATCTTCAAGCCACAAGCCCTACGATTTCTACATCGCCGGTTGAAGCTCGAGGAAGACAAACTACGAATGGCAGAGAGTCGCCTGAGGAACTTCCTCCTCCGCTCCCCCCTCCACCCTCCTTTGAAGCACTCGATCCTCGTGGACCAATTTCAAAGGACGATGTTTTGTTTCCCCCGCCTGTACCGTCATCAAGCTTGGGACAGAACCTTTCGGAGTTGGACAGTTTGTTAGAAAATTTGAGTAACCCATTACACTATCCTTCGCCATCTGAATCACCAGGTAAGTGGCGCTTATCGATTTTAGTAAATATATTTTTTAGAATTTTAATCTGTACATTCAGTTTGCCATAGAATCAGAGCTGGTTCCATTTTTGGGGGTATATAAATTTTTTTGGACATATAAAATGTAAAAAAAACATGAAGGTAAATTTCTATTAATCAAATGAATCAAAATATGACTGTTTTAGTAGGCGTTCTATATACATGATTAAATTCCAAACCAAGCTCAAACTGTAGCTAAGAGGAACAGTTCCCAGTGCCAAGAAATATTGCTTTAAAACGTTAAACGTGCTGAAATTTAAGATCTTGTCTGTTGAATTTAATCCGCTTTTCATGTCGGCTTGTAGTACATTTTCTTTGATTTGTATCATTTCTTTTAAAACTGTAGTTTATTGGCTTACGATGAATTTGCCTGACCGAAGAAAAGCAGGAATATTCGAAATTGTTTTCTACGTTATATCAGATGTAGAACAGGAAGAGCGTTGTGCACGCGCTTTGTTTCCATTCATTCAAGACGATTAAAACTTGCTCCCAAATTAAAGTCCGCCCACTGTAAAGTAAAGAAATTGTTTGCCCATTTTATCCACGGTGCAAATACACTTACTTCGTCTTGTCAATATTGTACAATTTGCGATTTAATGTGGGAGAAATATTCCTTTTGATTTTCCGGTACACTGTTGAATTTTTACATTTATTTCATGGCTGTTAGCATCTTTTGTGTATGCTGGTGTAAATCTGTTTAAACTTCCCCTAGTTTTTTTAATGGCAGCTGGTTCCATAGCCTTTGAAGCATAAATTTGCAAACTAAAACTTCTCTTGTAATTTACTACGAGTGCAGTCAAGAACACAACGGAGAAAAAATTGAAAAAAGTAATAACAATTTTTTTGGAGTTGCTGTAAAGTTTCAAACTTGTGATTGGTCAAAATTTGAATCTAAGTACCGCGGTAATTTTGTAAGTTGATAGCCAGTTAAAAGTCATATTTTCAAACATTCACCAAGAACATGCTTTGCAGTTACCTACACATGTAATTTTTGAAGAATAAAGTTGTAGAGAAGCCTGTGTTTGATGTTACCCCCTAGTGGGAGAATGAAAAACATGTTTCTCCACACTTTAACTTGTATTTGTAGCGTAATTTCCATATAATTTCATGCAATGATCCTCGTATTCTTGCCATTACAACCATATTTTTTTATGTGCAAATTCAGGGTTGTCAATAGTAATAGTAAATGCAAAATTGGGTATGCTAGAGCAAGAGAAGGCCATTATGCAAAATCTTTTGTTTATTAAATGCTTGTGGTTTTCAAGAGTCTCAGTAACTACAAAGGCACTAATTAAACACACCCTGATGTGAAACTCACTTTGCTCATCCTGTTTGGATTAGAAACAGTATCTTTGAACAGAATGGTTCCTGTAAGATAATACAGGGTAACTGTTGACATTTCTAATTCTTCAGCAAGACATTGAGTGTAGTGTAAGTTTCGTTAATTTCACATATGCCTCATATGTGGCCTCAGAAATTACACAAAAGTGATTTGCATAATAAAAATATGCCTTCACACACAACTAGGCCACTGCAAGGTCTGATTTGTTTTCTGTCATGAGATATCGTTTGTAAAATTTGATGTTAATCCATTTGGTTGTGAAGATTTTGCAGAAATATTTAATATGGCTTTGGAAGCTAGTCAAACCATAAAGAATGAAAACTGACCAAAGAACTGTTCAAAAGTTGAGTACTTTTGCTGCCTTCATTCTTTTTCTGGTGTATGTGCAGAAGGCAGATTTCGGGTCAAATTCACATGTTTGTTTTGCATTTTTCTTTGGCCTCTGTGACTGATTCTGAATCATGGTCATTCAGTCTTGGTTTGAAGGATTTCTTCCCTCCTGCACCCGTAAGATGTCCAAATTCTCCATGACTGTTAAAACTGATGACATCACAAGTGCAGAGGGGATATTGTTATGGGTGGTTATGTTTTTGT